TTCCTAAAGTTGTGTTTATTTTTCCTTTTTCCCTATCTTTGGATTTATGCATTTAAGCTAGCCTTTAAAATAACTAGTGCTAAAATTAATGATCAATAATCACTCCTTTAATTTCAGGTGTGGTCGGTTTCGATCCTACTGCACAAGCGTTTGTCCTAGAGTCCGAGATGAAAAACAAGGAGCCCCCTGGAGGAAGCTCTTCTCACAGTGGTAACAGAGATCCAAGGGGAAAAAAAGAAAGATGCACAAAGCTTCTCAGTGCATAATGTGAAGAGGGCACATGTCACTTCTACCCACATGCCATTGGCTAAGGCAGTCACATGGTCAAGTCCAAAGTTACTAGGTAAGGAAATACATTCTGCCCAAGATAAGGCTGAAAAATTGGAGTTGATAATGCCCAAAGATGGGAACATGTATCATCCATATTGAAAAGACACCTCAGTGTTGGGAACCATCCTGCCTGGTTTCAGGAGCAGTAACCACCCCTGACAGGTGAAAAGGCCCTACAGCTAGGGCACCTTAGGACCATAAGCCACTAAGGAGACAAAACTTATCCTCCCCACAGGGGCACAGCCTCTGTTCCCTTTACTTCACCCTGCTTGGTCCCTGAAGGATGGCTGGATAGTCAATGACAAGTTAAGGTTCCTCAAGAAAGGAACAATCTAAGACAGGCACTGTCATGAAGGGGCCATCAGGGAAGGACTTAGGGGATTGTGGAGAAGGGACAAAAAACCCTCACCCCTCAGCTTTATCATAGCCTGAGTCCTCATTCTATCTATAAAGAATCTCCTAATCTCTTGGCTGCCTTGCTTCCCCAGCCTGATTCAGGCCTGAAACAATGTCAAAGTGGGGGTACAGCCCTGTGCCAAACTGGCAGTTCCTGGTGGGGGACAATCAAGCATAAGAAAGAATGCATAAAGTCTTGTGAAAACTGTTTTGCTAAGAATGTCTTCAATTTAAATATTAAGGGTCCAAGCACAAAATAAGTTTGTTTCCATGGTTTTACATCTGGTTGGTATTACCCTGTCTACCAGACCCTGACTCAAAAGGACCCCCATGATCCCAGAAATGTTACCTGTAAACCATACCTCCTTTCTTTGATATGCATCCCTATGCAAGCTAAACTCAATAAAAGCCCATTGAGAGAGAGGCTGAATGTCTTTCTCTTCTGAGAGACTTGTCAGCCTTTCCTCCTCAAGAAGATCATGTGTTGGTAGAATTATTCTCATCTACTTTGGCCAGAGGGAGCTCTGTGGGCAGAGCTCTCCCCTTCTCCACCCCCCCCACACACACACCTCAGACTAAAGATATCCTTTAATGGTGTAAGTTTGATACCTGCAGGTATAAGGCAATTGGGATCTGTAAAGGATAAGTAATATCCTTCAGTTACATTGTAGCACTGAATGTTATATTAGACATATTAAATACTGGAAGGTTTAAGGATATCTAGGCCAACAGCAATTTATTGAGAAAATAGACTGGTGGATTTGTTGGTTCCTCAAAACTTATGACTTAGTGATATTATACTATAGCCCTTCTTGTGGTAGGTGAGAAAAGAGTAACCTGGAGAGGCCAAATCAAATGACTGGCTATCGTTATGCTGAGCTTGTCACCTTTTGTTCAGTTTTTGCCCTTGCACTGAACCCTCTATTCTGACTTCTGTTCTGTGGACCAGTGCTATCCAACAGAACTTTCTATGGTGACAGAGAAGTTTTATTTCACATTGTCTAACATGGTAGCCATGAGCCACATATGGTTATTGGGTATTTGAAATGTGGCTAGTCTAGCTGAGAAAAATAAATTTCTAACTTTATTTAATTTAATTTAAAATTAAATAACCAAATGTCTGTAATGACTCTCAAGATGGACAGAGCAGCACTAGTGAATGCTTGGACTCAGAGTGAAGATGCTAAAACCACTCTAACTGGGGGGCTTCTGAATGGGCTAGCAGATTTCAAGAGAATCTTGTCTCAAATAAATAGTATGACATTGTTGAAGCAAGTAATAAGCTTATATTTTGTTTGTGAAAACAAGTCATGTGATAAAACTTAAGGTCAATAGGTCAACATTTAAGTACAAAGTGTAATCCTCTCCTATGTCAAAGTCAGGTATATAAGAAATAGAATTGTATTTGTCATCCTTTTCCTCCTCCTTCCTCAAATACACTTAATTTTAATTTTAGTCTATTATTCTGATGGAAGAAACTAAAATTCAGGTAATTCAGGGCTTTTTATTCCACTCCTTGGCCATGGCTGTATTCTCATCCTCTGTGATCCCAATAGCTTTTGATCCCAACAGGTACTTTTGTGAACCCTCATGGCACACACTCATACCAATCAGTGCACGGGGCTGGTGCAGGGAGGTCTGGGGCCACCACAGGACTGTGCTGTAGGCACTTAAGGCACTCCTCATGGACATTTTTAATGCTCCTAGGTCTTAGAAGGCAGAGGATGTCTTGGAAGGCTTTGCTGGTCCTAGCCTTCACTGAAGAAGTGATGCAAAGACTCTCTATTGTGTTCAGATCCCCCTGAAATATATATTTGTCTCCAACCTGCCTGCCCTTAACCCAAGTTTTGACCATGGGTGAGTGCAAGGTACAGGTCAGTTTCTAAGAGATACCCACTATAGTAGTAGGCTTAGACTCAGTTGTGCTGCAGTAACAAGAAGCCCCAAACCTCTGACTTATGAGTACAACAAAGGTATATTTCTCACTGCAGCTGGTTGGCTACAACTCTGCTCCACAGTAGCCCCCTAGCTTGATAGAGTAAGAAAGGGGGTAGGACCACAGAATGACTCCTAAGACTTCTGTTCAGAAGTGGCATAAGGCACTTTTGTGCATATTCTCATGTTCAAAGAAAATCACAGGATTGATCTTGACCTCAATGGAAAGATGAAGTATAATTCCTTCCCATAGGGAGAGGGCTTGGAATTTATGAACAGTAATGAAATCAGCACATTTATCTTTTACTTTTCCTCTCTCTTTCCTGTCCCACTTGCCTCTCTTCATCTTCAACACCGCACAGCCCATGGGTTCTTCATCTGGAATAGGCAGCATAGTATATTCTTCAAACTCTATTTATGGTATAGGCTATTAAAATTTCAAAGCCCATATTCTTGAAACTCAAAACCCTTCTCTTTCACATGCATTTCTGAAGCCTGCTCTGAAAGATGAAGAGAAGGCTTGACTCCTCTCTCTCTCTTTTTTGCACTGTCATCCCTTCCCTGGGGTGGAAAGCTGGCTGCTTCCTGAATAAAGGAAAAGGTTATTGGAGAACAGTAACTATGGGAAGAAGCCATTGGTTCATAAAATATTATTGGACCGCACTCTAGCAAGGTGGGCTATCTTTTGTGGAGGGGCAGAGATTTCCCTTTGAGAACTAAAATATCTTGGGAGTGAAGGCAGAGGCTGGCATGACACTGGAGTTGTCTGCCAGAGTCCTCAAGGACTAGTGCCATCCAACACAGCAGCCCCTAACTATGTGTGACTACTGAGCACTTAAGATGTGGCTACAGTGACCGAGGAACCAAGTTTTACATTTTGTTTAACTTTAATTAATTTAATTTGCAATAGCCACAGATAGTTGGTGGCTACTATTTTAGACATTGCAGTTCTAGAAGTCACACAGTGCCGTTCATACTATGCCTTGATTTAAAAAAAAATCTCAAAATGGAAATAATTTCAGTTTGCATAATAATTAAATTGACATTATAGTTGGTTAAGAGCAAAAAAAATGCCTTCACTTATTAATTGGCTAGAACTGCCTGACCTAATAAGCAGAGGCTAAATTCACAATTAATTAAAGATTTCGTGTTCATTCATCCAAGACATGCCTCAAACCATCTTTTGTTCAGCTGGCCAGCAGGAGACTTACAGCCATATGTAGGACATCTTGCAGCTACCATCAACACATGCAAAATATCCCATTTCAAAAAAAGTCCTTTCACTTTTCAGATTAGTAATTCTGTTGAAGGTATAGCATGTTTCTATTATGCTGACTATAATTACATTTGCAGTAAGTGAATATGACATAATATACTACATAGAAATTTATGTTACTAGATTATTGGTAATTTAAAAAATAGTTCTCTATCTGTTCCATCTATTGAGTAGTATTATTTCTCTATTAGAGGTGAGAAACCTGAGGCATAGGGAGGTTATGCAATTTTTTCCTAAGGTTATACAATTGGTATTTAGACTTTTAATATGTGAACTCCTGTCTGTTTTATCCAAAGCCCCTATCACTCAACAATACTGCTCTCACTTGATAGATAATGGCAAAACCTAATTGCTGTTACCTGTATTTTCCTATGGACTGAGCCTGCAGAAAGTTACAACCCCTTTTCAGAGAGCCAACGGATACCAAAGGGATGCTGCTGTGTAGAACACTCCAGGCCTGCCACAGCTTGATGGCCCTGGTCTCCTGGGGTGGATGGGAGATGTGGTTAGCTTTGAGACTGGAATCTAAGCCATTCATGGAGGTTGTCCCAGTCAAAATGGCCCACAGGTGCGATGACACTCTCACTTATATCCTACTATATTGACTTCTGGTTACCTATTGGGTTTGTTGAAAATTTAGATTCAACCTTCTGGGATGCATACCAAGACTGATTCAAAATCTGCCCATCAACCCCTGTGTCCCAAGCTTAACCTCGTGCCTTAACATTAATCAGGTGGCCTTATGCAATTTCATGAGCTATGTACGTTCTAGCATAAATCTTCCTGTGAATCCAAAACATCAATGCCTCACATTCACTTAAAATACAGCGAAAGACAGATGCTCACTATTTTTGCTCTTGTAGTCCTAGTTCTTTAATGTAGGAAAATGTTTCTTTCTTAAAGTGCAAAGCTCTTGGGGACACAGCCTTCTGCTACCTCCTCATCCCACTGTACTTGCAAACTTTGGTCAGAGGGAAGGTGGGCACGGGGGCACGAAACTACAAGTCCCAGAATGCACGGCATCGTCCGCACAGGCGCAACGGGGACCACCCGCCAGCGGACCCGCCAGCTTGCTGGAGACTCCCGGGTCCCAGCGCGGGACTGGGGCTAGGGGTGGACAGCCCAGCAGACCTGGAGGGCGCTCAAGGGGACCCCGGGCTTTACTATGAAGGCGCCGGGGAGCGCGTGAGGAGGATGCACCAGCAGGCTCCGCAGCGGGAGGAGGAGTAGGCGGTGGTGCCCTCGGGAGGGAGCCGCTCACGGGCCAGAGGCTCCCGGAGGCTCCGCAGTGCCGCCGCCGTCGCCCGGGAGGCTCAGCACGGGAGCCATGTAACCCTGCGGTGGGCTCCGGGCTGCTCCGTTTTTCGTCTGCTCCCGGGCTAGCGCGGCAGCGGGGCCACAATGAAGAAGCAGTTCAATCGCATGCGCCAGCTGGCCAACCAGACGGTGGGCAGGTAGGTCACCCGCTGGCAGCCGCGGGCCCGTGCGCTCCTGCGAGGCTGCATTCGCCGGGACGCGCAGGTGATGGAGCTCGTCGGGCCTCGTGTCCTTTTTCCATGCAGGCGGGCGCTGTCGAAGTGCCGCTGGCGGGCGCGACCCTTCCTCTCTGAACTTCCCAGACCCCGGAGTCTTTCTCACGCTCTGCCTGCTGCTCCCGGGCTCTGGCTGCCAAGCGCAAAGTGTGACGCATCCTTTACCTGCGTCCCCAGCTGCCCCTTCACCTCGTCCTCCCTGCCTTTTTTCTGGGACTCTCTGCTCCCTTTGCTCATAAAGCTTCCTGGAAACAGGTGTTTGCTCTGATTGTGCTGGAGGCAGCCGAGCTGCAGTCGCACCCCAAGTATTCCTCCCCTGCGCCGAGTTCAGGGCTTCTCAGGGGTCTAGGGCAAGTGTTGGGCCTGGTCGGCTTGGCAGAGCTGAGCCTCCCTCCTGCCGTGTTTGTTTTCAGGGACTGTGACTGTACAAGATTCGGGATCTCTTTCCTGGCTAGGTTTGTCAAGGCATTAGGTGGTGGAGAGAGGATCCGAAGAGGTGTGGGGGGGGGGGCGGGGATGGGGGCAGGGAAGGTGCTGGTGCTGGTGCTGGTGGAATGGCGCTGCTGTCAGCTGGTCCTAAGACTGTTTTCAGCGGAGGGAGAGAGGCTGCAGAATGGGAGGCCCAACTCCTCAGGAAGATGAGATAAGCAGAGGATCACAGCCAGGTAAGGGAGGGGGACAGAATCCCTACAATCGGAAAGAGCCAGGCCCTAGGAAACTGCAAGACCCAGTCTACTGTCACCACAGTGAAAATGGGCTGCATCTGGGCCAGTGTCTACAGGAGCAGCTCTGCAGGGTGCCAACATACATGCATGTTACATAAGGATTCTGATGGGTCTCTTCCAAAACTAGACATGCTCTGAACACAGGATTGTTGGGTTGAAGGGATTTTTCATCCATCTTCTGCCTGGAGAGGGATTTCTGTAGCTGCTGTGGCAAAGGAATTCAGGTGTGCAGTTCTAAAGCCAGTGGAAAGCAGAGAACTCAGCCTTGGGTGCAATTAAAGTGCAAGCTCAACACCTCAAGGACTCTCCACTAGGTCTGCTAAGAAACCAAATACCTTTCTTGGTTGGGAAGTGGATCCTGAGCTAGTGTCTGGTAGGGTGAGGGTGGGGACATCCCTGAGTAATAGGGGGCACTGAATTCCCACGTAAGCACACTGCCCTAATTACAGTGGGCATTTGAGGGCAGGGCATGTGGTGACTTCTTATGCTTCCAGGGACTGCAGATGGCTTCCAAGTTACCATGTCTAAAATGGACTTGAATGCATTTCCTTTCCCAAACACATGCGCTCTAACATGACAGAATTTATGAATAGCAGAGTCAGATTAGCCCAGGTTTCTGGCATGATCTTGCTACAGATATAGCCTCATGTGGGTTGCCTTTTGATGTGTTGGATGCTGAAATAGTGTTTTGCTGTTTAGGTGGTTTAGCAGATACGGTTGAGCTGGTCTTTATTACCGTCTTGACTTCTATGTCCCCCTGCAGGCTGGCATCAGTCATCACATCAGACCAGCCAAGTGATCAGTAGGCTTTTGACTATAGACTTGGTTTGCTGGTCTCTCTGGGTCTTGGCGTTTCAGTTCAGTGCTGGAATTGGAATGTGTTTGTGCTCCCTCCCTGGCCTCAAAACACGACTCTTCTGTCTCTTTTCAGGACTTGTTTAGAAGTGGTAAGATTTGCGAGCCTTGGGCATAAAACTTTTATCTTTGTCTGTGGAAGGAATGACAAAGGGAGAGGGGACGTTGAATTTTAGAATAAGTGGTCTTACTTATTTGAAAGCATATTCTCGGAAGTCCAAGCAGCTGGTCACCAAGAGTTACCTTCCACTTGTTTATTGGGACTCTGGTGGGTGCTGGCATGTGCATAAATTATCTTTACTGGGTGGCATCTGTTGTGTCATGTGCCAGGTCAAGTGAGGGCCCGTTCACTATTGTGTATCACTACTATGTGTCCATTTTAATGCCATTCAGAGGGACCTTCTACAGCAAAAATCAGTTCATGTTACTTTGCTGGTTAAAAGCCTCCAGTGGCGTCTCATGTCCCAAATATCTCCAGTGGCCTATTTGACTTGACCCCTCTTTGTCTTTTCACATTCATTCTGTTCCACCTGCTTCTCCTTCACTGTGCTTGAGCCCCAATGGCCTGCCCTGCCCCAAGCATACCAGGCTCATTTCCATCTGGGGGCTTTATGTTTGCTGTCTCCCCACATCCCTGTCTGGCTGAGGATGTGTTCTTCCTGTGTACCTCTTCCGCATCACCCAGTCTTAGCTCTAAGGCCTTTGAGAGGCTGTCCTACCCCATTTTCTCTCTAGCCCATCCTCCTGTTCATTTTCATTCCAGCACTCATTCCTCTTTGAAATGCTCTTATTTTTCATTTGTTTCTTTTCTTGTCTGTTTGCCCCCACTAGAATGCATTGATCACCAATGTATGCTCAGTGTATATAGCACAATGCCTTATAGATAGTTGGTGCTCAATTTGTGTTTATTGACAAGATTCAAACAGTTTACTGGTAGGATCCATGTGGGTAAATAAAAGGGGCAGCATTTACTATATCTTATTGAGAATGTAGCGCGGCATGATTCTAACATTGCTTCTTAATTTTTTTCCTTTTTTTAAATTTTATTTTAATTGTTGTTGCAGTATAATTTTCTATCTTTTACTACCAACCCAACCCACCCACACAGCCCACCCCTCCTCCCTCCCATTTCCACCCACCCCCTAGTTTTTATCCATGTGTCCCTTATACTTGTTCCTGTAAACCCTTCCCCTTTTCCCCTGAAATAGAAGCAACAGGATTGGAAGTTTGGGATTTAAGTGTGGAATTGGTAGGTTACTTTATGAAGTTGCTTGAGCAAGCCACTGGCTTACAAAGACATGTAAGGACCCTCTGGTCCTTACATGTCTTGTAAGGACCCTCTGGTCCTTACATGTCTTTGAAGTAAGGACTTTTCCTCTCTTTAGAGAAGACAGGTGGGCTTGAAGGCCGCTCCTGCCCATGGTTCATCTCCTGGTCCCCTTCTACAAGTTATAGGTTCTGAATTCTGAATATAAAACTGCTGGGGTTGGGATCCAGTCACTTTCACAATGTAATTGCTGAGCTTGAATGCACTCTGTGGAGTTCAGAATGTTCCCTTGAAGTGCTCACATCTGGTAGAGAGGATATCAGCAATTGTGAAAAGAGTTTATAAGATCCATTACATTTAACTGGAAAAAGTTTCATGTCCTCTTTGGTCTGCTTCTCTAGCCTTTGCTCACCATCCTCCTTTGAACTTTCCTCTTCCTGGCCCTTCACGTTTTTCCGTCCTTTGGGAAGCATGCCCTGGCCCTTCAAGACTGGGCCGCTGTGTGCCTAATGGTTCGGAGCAGCATGGGCTTTTGGGTGGGACAGATCTGGTTTGTTGCTTACTGACTATAGGACCTTGAGCTTAACTCTATGCACATCTCTTCCCTCATCTGCAGAATGGGAGGACTAAGACATTTACTGTGGTGGTGTGGTAACTGTGACAGTGGTGATGTGAGGTTACCTCTACAAAGTGCCTAACAGTGCTCAGCACTGCGAAGTGCTTATTATGTAGTAGCTTCAAGTATCTTTGGGCAGATGTCATAACTATTATTCTCATATTATGTTATATGCTCTATGGCATGCACTGTTCACTCATTCATTCATTCATTCATTCAGTGAATATTTTTTGGATGCTTGTTGTGGGCCATGTACTGCTCTGGTTTTGAGAATATTGCAGTGCAGAATATTGCAATAGAGAACTCTTGGAATCTGTATTATAAAGGCACAATATTGTTATATCATATTGTAATATTTATTATTTATCTTTCTTACTAGACTTTAAGCTCCTTGCAGGCAGGGGCAACTGCCTTAGTGCCTGAAATTCAGGTTCTCTGAAATTCATGGGCAACTGAATGAATGAGTGGGCAAAAGATCCACGTATATATGGGGAAGTGGTACAAAGCTGTTCAAAGATGGGAGAGGCTCCTGACACTGTGCCTCTTTCATTTGGTAGTGGGAATAGGGTTTCAGAAAAGGGAGGCACAGCTGTACTTTGGAAGGATAGAGCAAAATTTAAGGGAAGAATTAGTTCATGCCTGATTTATGGCACATTTTTTGTTACCTTCAAGAGTTCATTAGTTGCTGGAGTGAGAAGCACCCTGAAAGGCATACAATGTTTTACTTGGAAGTGGCATTTGGTTTGTGTTGAGTAGACTAAAACCCTGAGCTGGAATTTCAAGACCTGTAAGTGAAAGAGAAAAGGGAAGTAAAATAGTCACTTTGATCTGGTGAGGAGAATATTGTTTTCAACCTGCATAGCAGGGGTCACATCAGCCCCCACCCTAGAGGGCACTTACGAGGTCAAAGGGCACCCGGGTTATACCAAGTACTCAACCAATGCTTGATGAAGTTCATTTTCATTTTCCTCTTCTGCTTGCCCATTCAGTCCTTCAAAAATGTTGGCCTAAATTTCAAGGGCTTTGTAGACACTGATTCCAATAGCCATTACCTGTAAATGGGTTCTATGCTCTTGTGCAAAAAACTGGTTATATTCCATGTGTCTGACAGTAGGCCAGGAGCTATGGAAGTGTGGGAGGGGGAGCAGGGCAGGTTGGGTTGGATTATTTGGTTTTAGAGGCTATGAGTTGGGGAGTGGAAGACAAAGTATTGTCTGCAGAGCCTCTTTCCCATTCCTAGACTGCTCAGCAGCAGGCAACAACAAGCGGGCTTGGTTTCCTGTACACAAGTTGGCTGAGCATCACTGCTGCTCTGCAGCTCCCAGGATGCAGTTGCAGGGTCCAGGCATTGGCCCGTGGGCTGGAGATAGCTGCTGAGGATGCAGCAGCCTTTACAAGTGCCAGTGCTGCAGACACTTTTGCTCAGGCCAAAGCAGCTGACAGCAGCCAGTGAGGACCT